AATTTTCTTTGGCATATCTCTTACACCTGTTTGTTCCCTACTCGCTTCTTGAATTACTAAGTTCAATGACCTTGCATCTTCATGATCAGTTTCGCTGAGTTCCGCTTGTCCCCCACTCACTTCTGCTATTGATGCATCTGGTAGTTCAATCCGTCCACCACACACTCTTGATATTGTTAAATCCAGCGGTTCTGTTTGTAGCTCCTCAAATCATATAAAATTATGAGCTTCTTATGCTGCGCTAAAATCTTAATATATTTCAGCTCTACTTCTACTTTAAATGAACTTACGATAGCTTGAGTGTTGCAGAGCTGGAAAAGGAAGAAGATAAAAGAGTTGAAATGCATATTGATAAGAGTAATATCTTGCCAATTCTGAAAAATATTCAAATTTAGCAGTGCACTAAAGAACGGTTGCATATAAGAAACAACACCGCCTGCTGTTTGACAATTGTGCAAAACAAGTATATACTTTTCCAAATATATTGGCATTGAAAAGAGATCGGTACGCATTCATTGCGGGTATAATACAAACATCTCTCATTTAAGCATCTGATACAACAACCTTTTCATATTGGACATTGGCGCAAGTTTTTTAAAGCAGATTTCATGGAAACTTACGTAGTTATAAATTTGATAAGAAGATAATTCTGTTTAAAAAAGAGAGAGTGCTTATCTTGGAGGCTTGCAATTGTAGGAAGCGAAAAACAGCCGACATTTTCTGTCGACATGAAATAGAACTAACTAAATGAAATTTCACGGAAGATAGATTGACAACACCACCGGATCACTTCTGTTAGGTTAATGGTAGGAGATGGGGTCTATAAATGTCAATTTTGATGGGAATGGCTAGCACGTATATCGATAACCTATGATAATGTAATAATAGAAATCACATTTTATCCTTTATACTTTAATCTTTTATGAATAATTTCATTTCAGCTGTCATACTGCATTGCGAAAAATAATTTATGCAAAGCTGCTGCAAAATTTTTCCCAATTTTATTACATTTCGCTTCAATTCTTTTTTCCAGAAACTATTGTTGGCAAAATTACCATTCTTAAAAGTAAGACGAGATATGTAACTGAAAATTGTCCACAAAATCCATTTTTTTCTATTTTTTGAAGTATACTCCTAATGTGATAACCTCATATTTGCTGAAAAATGTTCGAAATGTAAATCATCTTCTGTTAGGCCTAGAAAAAGTTTTTGTGATATGCCACTCAATCACTTCTGTTAGGTATTAGTCGAAGAACACTGGTATAAGTGCTAATTTTTTTGGAAGTGGGTAGCCACATGTGTCGATAGCTTACATTCACGTGTATTGATGTAACAATGGCAATCACTGTCTAATCCTTTATACTGAATTAATTCATTTCAGCTGCCATATTGCATTGTGAAAAACGATTAATTTATGCAAATCTCTCACAATATTTTTTTCACAGTTTTATTCCCTTTCGCTTCAATTTTTCCAACTTCCATGACTGAGGCGTCATTATTAAAAAATGAAATTTTTACTAAATATTTCTGGCCAGAAAAAAAATGGTTGCAAAAAATTTTGCTAAGTATTTCAAAAATTTTGCTAACTTATTCATTAATCATTTCAAAAGAAATTCAAAATCAGATTTCAACATTTACCTGTTGTATTATAACTTCTTTATAAAAGGTTATGGATAAAATATTTTACTTAAAACAAAAAACTGAGCAATACGTAATAAAATTTAGTAATACATTGAAGAAAGAAATAAAGAAAAATGGGTTAAATCAAATGAAATGGAAATAATAATTCAGTTTTTTTTAAAATAGGGATGCGGTACCTTCTAAATACTTTCAAGACTTGAAGAACATTAAAATTACTTCTTATTAATTATTTCTGATTTTCATTAATTATATTTAAAAAAAATTGGAAATAATCATCATAATTTCAATATTTTGGAAAAGCTAAATTCATTAATTGTAATTTTAAATTATAAATTCATGTTTACTAACCGATCTTTTTTTTGCGTTTTCCTTTTCATCCTTATTGTGAATGATGTTTCCAAAAAATGTTTTTTCGCAATTTATTCTCTTTTTCAAATGGTTCAATATTTTTATTATTTAATATCAATTTGACTATTACTTATTATTCTGGTGATCGCAAGTATTTTTTTCCTTACAAGATAATTTAATCACTTATTTGATTTAAAAGTTTGCCCTTTCTTTTTTCGAGAAACGATTCAACGATTTTCATGATTTCATATTTCATCTTCAAAAAATATTTTCACTTCTTTTTTTTTGGATATTAATTTAAAACAAATATAAATTTTGATGGTATTTTTCCATTCATTATTCAAAAGCATATTCTGTTCCTTTTTTTCGTTTTCTTCCGTTTTATTCATTTTTTCCATTTTTTCTTCGGTATTTTTCTGTTTTTTTTTCCGTTTTTTTCGCCACTTCTCGGTTTTCCTTTCGTTTTTTTTGCGGTTCTTGCCAATTCGATAAATTGTCATATGCGAAATTATTTTGTGCAATTACAGGACATTGCATGTACGTAAAAAAGGAGAAGAATTTGTGATTGAATTGGTACGACAAACTGATGCCGACATTAAAGGCAAATTTCGAGTGCAATTTCGCGCACAGTCAACAAATAGCAAAAAAAGATAGCTATGAAAATTTTTTTTTGCAAAAAGTATATTACAGTATGCTGCAATATATCATAGTACAGTATAAAAGCAAAAGAAAGTGTGTTACAGTACCAAAAGGAAGTGTGTAACATAGTATATTACAGTATATTGACAGCACTGCAACATATTACCATGTATATATTATAGCATACTACTGTGTAGTATATTGCAGTGTCACAGTACATTATAGTACAGTATTAGATTAATATTGGAGATATAAAGTAATTCGAGTATTGCGATATTAGAGTATATTATTTCTTGGTCTTTCCAGTTCCTTTTTCTTCCTATTTGTTAAAGTTAATTATTAATTTCTACTTTCTAAGCAAAAACAAAAAAAATGGCGATATTTACTTTTTATAGAAAATCTAAATGGTGGAAAAGGGATTGGAAATTAATTTTTAAAACTATTAATAAATGAAATTTTAAATGTTATCACATTGGTAATGTTGAATATATTTTAAAAAATAGAAGAAAAAAATGATATAATGGGCACCTTTCTGTTGCATATCTCGTCCTACTTTGTAAGAACGCCAATTACCTTGAAACAGTCATGTTCTACCTGAAAGTCTGAATTGAACATTGATATTTTACTAACTAAATAATAGCAATGTATTTCACCAAGAATCCAATCTTCTATCATCGAAACGAACATACAAACATTCATACCGGTGATAAGTGCTTCTCTTGCATGTGGGAAGAATTTCGCCCGGTCATCGGGTCTGTATATCCATAAGCAAATTCATACCGGTGAGAAGTATACTTGTCTGAAATGTAACAAAAGCTTCTTCCAATCAGGGAATATGAGAAGGCACATGGAGAGGATTCATGGCAATGCTTGGCCCAGATTCAGTTGAACTGTATGCGGTAAAGCTTTCCTGTGGAAAATCTCTTTGAAATCACACATGATGACCGATAAACACATTTTAAACTGAAATACGGATTGCTAATTTATTGTGTTTTCTATAAGATTAATTCGTTTTTCCTTACTGCATTGTAAGCATTGTATTCCTTTATATAAAAATTAGTATTGTTCCTCTAAGACTTCTTTTTTATTTCTCATATCGTACTGAATAAAATTTCCCCTTTCGCGTTTACTTGCATCTAACTAAACAGCTTTTTCATTATTAATGCGAATATATGATGAACAGGTAACTTGCATGCCATGCATGAAGAACTTGCAATTGAGTTACTAAATTACTGATGAAATGATATAGTCTCAAATGAATCTCTCATTCGATTATTACACAAACAACATGGAAGCAAATTTTTGGCAACAAAAAAACTTTTCTTTTTCACAACACTTGAAGTCTCCCATCATTTCATAGGGTTACCCATCCATTTCGTTTGTCAACTCACAGTTCCATTTGCAAGTAACATTTCATTCAATCGATAATCCATCCCAACTACAATCTCATACCACTGAATTGCAGAATAGTTCCATTCAACGAAAGTGCCAAATCGGTGACAGGTCTCAGGAGTTTTAATGCAAATAGCACAAGTTTCAATGTAATTGTTTCAACATAGTGTTCAATGGTACAAGTTTCAATACAAATAGCAGTAGCAGTAGTGCAAGCATTAGTGTCAAGAGTAGTATCACAATATGATCAATAATTTTTGGCTGTAAACAATATTGATGATTGATAATACACCGATCAAAAATGCAAAAACAATATCGATAACCTACGTTGATGTGTGTTGATGTAGCAAAAGAAATGCTATTACTGTTATTACTGCCAAACAGTACTGCCATCATCCTTAATTTTTTAAACTGAATTTAATTTCATTTCTGCTGCCATATTCCACTGTGAAAAATAGTTTATGCATTGCTTTTGCAATATTTTTGCAGTTTTATTTCATTTCGCTTAATTCTTTTTCCCGGAAACTATTTTTGGCAAAATTTTCCAGAAACCCTAATCACATTGATTTGAAAAGAAAATTTAAACTGAACTTGTGGACGCTATGATAAATTGTAAAATTTAAGGACTTGGTCATTGTTTGACATTAATTTATGAAAATTAAAGTATTATACGTTTTCGTCATTAAATATGTCAATCATTATAGAAACATGCAATACTTCAATTACTGTAAATTAACATCGAAAAATGGAATAGAAAAATTTCAACTGATATCCAGTTGCTATGCCATCTTACGGTGACATAATATGCTCGTGTTATACTATAGATTTAAATTAACTCAAAATGAGCAACATTTTTCCGTTTTTTTCCATGCAAGGAAAAAGAAATAGTGAAAATTCCTTATTTCTATTTTTTCCTTTTCTCTTTAATCTTAAAATCTTACACTTATTAACAAATCTTTTCTCTGTATTTCAAGAAACTGAAAATAGCTTAATTAATTAATCATTACTTTTCTTTTTTCGAGCAAAATTATTTTGTGGAAAAGAGAATTAAAGCGAAATGTAATAAAATTGGGAAAACTTTTGCAGCAGCTTTGCATAAATTATTTTTCACAATATAGTAAGATAGCTGAAATGAAATCATTCATAAAAGATTAATGTATAAAGGATTAAAAGTGATTTCTATTATTACATTACTATAAGTTATCAATACACGTGGTTTTAAAGTTTGAAAAAAATTTAAAAATTAATCAGTTTAGAAGATTAATTAGTTAAAAAAACATTTTTTAAAAATTAAGAAAAATTAAAAAACTAATTACTGAAAAACTAATTGGTTTTGAAATTCGAATTATTTTCATAACACCTCAAATAAAATTTGGTGTTAATATTTAAATGTTGCAATTTGCAGGTATTATCATTTGCATTTGTGGGCATTTGCAATTTGTATTTGCATTAATATTACATAATGAAAAAAAAAAATAATAAACTGATTATGGTAACAACAAATGTATATACAGTACAATCATTTCGAAATTATGTTTAACTTAAATTTCAATTAATATGGTACTAAATTTAAACTCCAATTAACACACTGTCGAATTGAAATTCCTATTGGTATATTGGTAAAAAATTGCCATTTTTCCGAAATATTTGTGCAAAAATCATTTCTGTACGAAGTTTTTTCGTCATCTTTTGAAAATTTGAACATTACTTTGCTTTATTACTGATTTCTAATATCAATAAAACATGTTCCCCGCCGCAACTCTGCTTACCGTTTGCTCCCCCGCTATTAATTATATACCAATCAGCAGCTATGGTGGCTTAAAATGGAAAATAGGTAAAAAATAGAAAATTTTTAATACATTTTATCATTCTCCAAAATATAAATTAAAATGAAAATCACATTAAATTGAATTAAAAAAACGATTATTTTGCGAAATGGAAGGAATAAAAAAGTGAAAATTTACAGTGAAATTGAAATTAAATTGAATTAAATTAAATTGTGACGAATTGAATTAAGTTAAATTAACTTATAATAAGCTTTTGGATAAATGCGTAATCCAAATAAATCAGATGCAGATTTCGGAAGAAGTTTCATTGCATTTATTGCACAACGGTGTTTTACAACATGCCAACGCCACTGGAAAAAAAAAAGCAAATAAATAATTTCAAAGTTCTGACAAAATTTTTTTGGTAAATTAAAATTGATCAATAAATTAGTTTGGCAATAAGTAATTTTATTATGTTATAAGTGATAAAATAAACAATTGAATGATTGAACAAGTCTAATTTCTTTTTTTGTATTTCCGATTCTAATCCGCGACATAAACTTATCAATTAATGTTAAATTAATTCTCTCAACGATTAAATTATTTGCCAAGCATTTATTATCGTCAATTACCACTATTATTATTATTATTATTATTATTATTATTATTATTATTATTATATTATTATTACTGTTATTATTATTAATATTATTATTATTATTATTATTATTATTATTATTATTATTATTATTATTATTA